GCTGGTTGTACTGATCCATTCTCTTCCTGTCTGTTTCTCCCGCATCGCAGCGCGAGCGCTCTGACGCCTCCATGGCCTAGGTAGGCGATTACAGACAGAGGTCAGTGATGGGTCCCAACCCCTCCCCCGCCATCATGTGTTGTAGAACGAATCTGACATTCTAATGTACAGGGAGCTGACCCAGTGCCCTCAACTGTATACACTGACGGCAGCAACGGCATCTAGGTCTGAACATCATTGCTTTCAACCAGAATGGGGAAGAAAGGGGATTTAAGTGACTCATTGCACGGGGCGCGGTTGTGGGTGCCGGTCACTGGCCACATGTGTGATCACCTGGGGGTTTATCGTTACCTACAAACACGACAGTGATTGGTCGCTCCACCTGTTTTTCTGCTGCTGCTGCGCCTGAACCCATCAGGAAATTTAGTCTGCTCCGGGCTCATGCCACTTTCCAGCGATCCGGCACCACCGCGGTGCAAGGCCCATACCTGCTAACGGCCACACCGGGGTTCTCCGTCAGAATGTCGCCCAGGTGGCTGCAGATCTCTGCAATGTTGTGATGCCTTCCACACCCACTTCTCCTCTGACTGAGGTAGGCGATCAGACCCAGTGATGTGGGGAACCCCCCCCCATCAAGGCAATTTATTCTGCCTGGCCCACACCCACTTCTCCAGACTGACACCCCCCCATCAAGGAATATTAGTCTGCCTGGCCACACCCACTTCTCCAGTACAGGGACACCCACCCTATGTATCAAGGAGGCCATTTAGTCTGCCTGGAACGTCACTACCCTTTTCTCCAGACTGACCATTCCTTTGCCCACTCATCAAGGAATTGGATTCAGTCTGCAATCATGGGCTCACACCCATGTGGGACACACCCACCCATCAAGGCAAATTTTAGTCTGCCTGGCCCACACCCACTTCTCCAGACTGACACCCACCCATCAAGGCAATTTAGTCTGCCTGGCCACACCCACTTCTCCAGACTGACACCCACCCATCAAGGAAATTTAGTCTGCCTGGCCACACCCACTTCTCCAGACTGAAACCCACCCATCAAAGCAATTTAGTCTGCCTGGCCACACCCACTTCTCCAGACTGACACCCACCCATCAAGGCATTTTAGTCTGCCTAGCCACACCCACTTCTCCAGACACACCCACCCATCAAGGCAATTTATTCTGCCTGGCCACACCCACTTCTCCTGACTGACACCCACCCATCAAGGCAATTTAGTCTGCCTGGCCACACCCACTTCTCCAGACTGACACCCACCCATCAAGGCAATTTAGTCTGCCTGGCCACACCCACTTCTCCAGACTGACACCCACCCATCAAGGCAATTTAGTCTGCTTGGCCACACCCACTTCTCCAGACTGACACCCACCCATCAAGGCAATTTAGTCTGCCTGGCCACACCCACTTCTCCAGACTGACACCCACACATGAAGGCATTTTGATATTTGCATAACTCCTCCCCAAGAGCCATTGCACCTTTTGCATTGGGACTGAGGGCTCTCGCGGGGTTTCTGGGATGTTTTCAGGAAGCTATGTACAGCCCTCTGCTGGCCCCTCCCACCAGCCGTGATCTGCTTGCGTGGCATAGAGAAGCACAGAGAACCACTGATGACATGAGGATTTATTAAAAAATGATTATGTAGGTGAGGGGAGGTAAAGGCAGATTAAAGTGGAACTTCACTCTCTCAGTCAGCATTGACTATAAATTAATCCTTATGCTCCTAGTATTAGTACATAGATAGGGAATAGATTTATATTTACTTCTTTTAAACTTTTTTTTTTTATTTGTTACATTTCTTCAGTTACTTCCCACATGGAAGAAAAATATATTTTAAATATATTTTTAAAATATTCTTCCCAAATATATTGAAATATATTTGAAATGCTACAATTTTGACCGTATTCAATATATATTCAAAACCTATTTCAATAAATAAATATCACACAAACACACGTTTTTTATTACAAAATATCTGAAAAAATTTTTTAAAAATACATTTCAAATATACTGTATGTCTGTAAAAACACAAATCTACATTTTTGGAATTCATTTACAAATATATGTAAAATTATATGTTAAAATTACTTTTTTATATGTTAAAAAAAATCTGAAGAATATATGTAAAAAAATATAGTTTTTGAGAAATATATTTTTAATTATATTCTTCAGATTTTTTTTAACATATAAAAAAGTAATTTTAACATAGAATTTTACATATATTTGTAAATGAATTCCAAAAATGTAGATTTGTGTTTTTACAGACATACAGTATATTTGAAATGTATTTTTAAAAATATTTTTCAGATATTTTGTAATAAAAAACGTGTGTTTGTGTGTGATATTTATTTATTGAAATATGTTTTGAAATATATTGAATACGGTCAAAATTGTAGCATTTCAAATATATTTCAATATATTTGGGAAGAATATTTTTATATATTTTATATATATTTTTCTTCCATGTGGGTTCCTGGTTTCCATGCCTAGGCAAATGATGTCATACATCCCAGGAGACTTCAGTACGGGAGAAGGGGTTTTCTCAGCTAGGCACACCCTCCTGTCTGCATGGCTGAGCTAAGGGCAGATGGATTCCAGGAAGTAAATGCTACATGAATCATCTGCCATTACTCAAGATGGTCATGGCCAGAAATGCTAGGGGGGGGGGGGGGTTAAAGTGATTTCCTAGCAGACTAAAGCCATGGAGACATGGATGGATGGATGAAGACATGGATGGAAGGAAGGAGACATACATGGGTGGATGGATAGAAATGATTGGTGGATGGATGGAGATGATGGGTGGATGGATAGAAATGATTGGTGGATGGATGGAGATGATGGGTGGATGAATGGAGATGATGGGTGGATGGATGGAGATGATGGGTGGATGGATGGAGATGATGGGTGGATGGATGGAGATGATGGGTGGATGAATGGAGATGATGGGTGGATGGATGGAGATGATGGGTGGATGGATGGAGATGATGGGTGGATGGATGGAGATGATGGGTGGATGGATGGAATCCTGGCCCTCCACCACCCTCCTCACCCGCACAACACCCTTCCCGCCTCCACGTCCTGCCGCAACCCCCTCAACCTAGTACCTGTCCCCCTGCTCCCTAAAACCACCCCCCGTTTTCATGTGCACTCCTGAACGCCCGATCGGTGTGCAACAAGCTTACCGCCATCCACGACCTCTTTGTTTCCCGCTCCCTCAACCTCCTGTGATCACGGAAACCTGGATCCAGCCCACTGATTCTACCTCCCCTGCTGCACTGTCCTACGGAGGTCTCACCTGGACCCACTCACCCAGACGGTCGTAAAGGTGGTGGGGTTGGTCTGCTCCAGTCACCACTGAGCACCTTCCGAGTCCTCCCAAACCCCCCCTCCCTATCCTTCTCCTCCTTCGAGGCCCACTGCGTCCGACTATTCTCCCCAACCCCCCTGAAGATTGCTGTGATATACCGGCCTCCTGGATCCATACCCCGCTTCCTGGATGACTTCTCCTCCTGGCTACCCTTCTTCCTCTCCTCTGAGCTACCCACCATCATCCTTGGGGATTTCAACATCCCTGTCAACCTCGACAACCCGGCACATCCCAACTCCTCCACTTAACCTCCTCCTTTGCACTCGCTCAGTGCATACAATCCACCACCACCCACTCCAACGGGAACATCCTGGACCTCCTCTTCTCCCATCTCTGCGCCCCCCACAACCTCACAAACACCCCCTTCCCTCTCTCTGAACACAACCTTATCACCTTCTCCTCGTTCTCTAACGCCTACCCCCCCAAATGTCCAACTATTACCAGCTGGAACCTCCGCAACCTAAACCCTGCCCCCCTCCACTCTGCAGCTGATCAACTTTACAACATCCACCCCCTGTCCTGCCCCGACCTGGCCACGACTGCCTATAACTACACGCTGTCATCAGCTTTAGACTCGCTAGCGCCTTTAACCACACGAAGTATCGGACCCCGACCGCTCCAGCCCTGGCAGACTGATCACACCAAAACTCTCAAACGACGCAGTCGTGCCCTGGAGTGACTATGGCGCAAAACCAAATCCCAACAAGCCTTCACCCGATACAAATCTGCCTTCCACACCTCCTCCTCCCTCCATACTGCCAAACAAGCCTACTTCCTGACCCTCATCAAGGCCCTCTCCTCCAATCCTCGCCGACTCTTCTCCACCTTCAACTCTCTACTCTCTCCGCCTCCACCTCCACCCAGCACCTCATTCACTGCCCTTGAGATTGCCAATCACTTCAAAAACAAGATTGACACAATTCACAAGGACATTGCCGCAACTCACACACCCTCTCAACCCGTCCCCTCTCACACAGCTACCCCTCATCCCCCCTCTCCTTTGGCCTCACCACTGTTCTGACCTCCACCCCACCTAACATTCCTCACACTGAAGCCCCCTCAACACTCCACACCTTTGACCTTACTACCATTGAGGAGGTCACCAAGATCCTCTCTGATGCCCGCCTCCCCACCTGCCCCCTTGACCCTGTCCCCTCACAACTCCTACGACCTCCCTCCCCCTCCATCCTAAGCTCCCTCACCCACATCTTTAATCTCTCCCTCTCTTCCAGCGCACGCGCACATCACCCCCATGGTCCTCCCTGGACCCCACCGACCTGAACAACCTCAGACCCATCTCCCTGCTGGCACTTACATCCAAACTCCTCGAGCGCCTAGTCTACAATCGCCTGAGCTCCCACCTCACCGTCAACAACCTCCTCGATCCCCTACAGTCTGGCTTCCGTCCCCTACACTCCACCGAAACCGCCTTACTCAAACTCTCCAACGACCTTCTAACCGCCAAAGCTAATGGCCACTATTCAGTGCTCCTACTCCTTGACCTCTCTGCGGCCTTCGACACAGTTGACCACCCCCCTCCTCCTCAAAAAAACTACACTCCCTCGTCCTCAGAGATTCTGCTCTCTCCTGGCTCTCATCCTACCTGTCACAACGCTCCTTCAGCATTACCTATAATGCTACCACCTCCCCCTCACTCCCCCTCTCTGTTGGGGTCCCTCAAGGCTCCGTCTTCGGGCCCCTTCTCTTCTCCATCTACACCTCCTCCATTGCCAACTCATATACTCTCACGGCTTCAACTACCACCTCTATGCCGACGACACACAAATCTATCTCTCAACCTCCCACCTCACCCCCTCGGTCTCCGCCCCCCACCTCACCCCCTCGGTCTCCACCCCCCACCTCACCCCCTCAGTCTCCGCCCGAATCACACACCTACTGAGCGACATATCAGACTGGATGTCGCTCCACTTCCTTAAACTGAACCTCTTCAAAACCGAGTTTCTTGTCTTCCCCCCCAGCCCGGACCCCACCCCCCATTGACTTCTCCATCACATCCAACAACGCTACCATCAAACCCGCCCCGCAAGCCAGAGTACTTGGTGTCATTCTGGACTCCAACCTATCCTTCCAGCCCCAAGTCCAATCTTTAACAAACTCGTGCAGACTCCACCTCCGCAACATGCAGACTCCGCCTCCGCAACATGCAGACTCCGCCTCCGCAACATGCAGACTCCGCCTCCACAACATGCAGACTCCACCTCCGCAACATGCAGTCTCCACCTCCACAACATCGCCAAAATCCGCACGTTCCTAACCCCAGAAACCACTAAACAGCTCATCCACTCCCTCATCATATCACGACTCGTCTACTGCAACTCCCTCCTCACTGGCCTGCCTCGCCGCTGGCTATCCCCGCTTCAGTCCATCCTGAATACGGCAGCCAGACTCATTCACCTTTCCAACCGCTCTGTCTCCACCACCCCCCTCTGCCAATCCCTCCACTGGCCTCCACTCAGTGTCCTCCACCCCCCCCTCTGCCCCCCCACTGCCAATCCACCCCCCTGCCAACTGGCCTCCACTCAGTGTCCTCCACCCCCCTCTGCCAATCCCTCCACTGGCTTCCGATTGCGCAACTGATCAAATTCTGAATCCTAACACTGATGTACAAAGCTGTCCACCATACTGCCCCGAACTACATCACCGACCTAATATCCAAGTACCACCCAACACGCACACTCCGCTCCTCACAAGACCTCCTTCTCTCTAGTTCCCTGGTCTCCTCCTCCCATGCCCGCCTCCAGGACTTCTCCAGGGTGTCACCCATCCTCTGGAACTCCCTGCCCCAACCCATCAGACTATCACCTACTCTCCTCTCCTTTAGGCGCACCCTGAAAACCCATCTCTTCAGGGAAGCCTACCCCACCCCCTGCTAACCTGCCGACCTCCTCCACTCTTCCTACCACTCCATCCCCCACAGCTATCTCCTCCTGTGCCACCACCCCCTCCCTCCTAGATTGTAAGCTCGAAAGAGCAGGGCCCTCAATCCCCTCATGTTTTGCATTGTATTGGTATTGTTCTGTCTCATGTATTGTCTCCCATATACAGCGCTGAGCGAACTATTGGCGCTTTATAAATACTGTATAATAATAATAATGAAGACATGGGTGGATGGATGGAGATAAGGATGAATGGATGGATGGAGACATGGGTGGATGGATGGAGACACGGGTGGATAGATAGAAATGATTGGTGGATGGATGGAGATGATGGGTGGATGGATGAAGATGATGGGTGGATGGATAGAAAATGGGTGGATGGATGGAGACAAGGATGGATGGATGGAAATGATGGGTGGATGGATGGAGACAAGGATGGATGGATGGAAATGATGGGTGGATGGATGGAGACAAGGATGGATGGATGGAAATGATGGGTGGATGGAGACAAGGATGGAATGAATGATGGGTGGATGGATGGAGACATGGGTGGATGGATGGACATGGATGGATGGATGGAGACAAGGATGAATGGAAATGATGGGTGGATGGATGGAGACAAGGATGGAATGAAAATGGGTGGATGGATGGAGACATGGATGGATGGAAATGGATGGAGACAAGGATGATGGATGGATGGATGGACATGATGGATGGATGACATAGCTGGATGGATGGAAATGATGGATGGATGGAGACAAGGATGAATGGATGGATGGACATGATGGATGGAGACAAGAATGAATGAATGGAAATGATGGGTGGATGGAGACAAGAGAATGAATGATGGTGGATGGATGGACACGGATGGATGGATGGAGACAAGGATGAATGGATGGATGGAGATGATGGGTGGATGGATGGAGATCTGAGAGTGATCCTTTAGGTGCTTCTATACTCCAGATGTGTAAAGCGGTTCTAAAGGCAGAACATGTTTTACCTTGTGGCATTCCCTGCATTAAGGTATAAAATGTTCCAGTGGAAGTACCGCCCCCCCGCCCCCCTCACCCCCTTATACTATCCTGAGTCCTGTCTCTCCAGCGACGTGCCTGTCTCCAGTGGCTCTAGTCTCTCTCTTTTTCCTCACGGAACAGAGGCAGCAGCAGAAGCCATTGGCTTTTGCTGCTGTCAATCTGATCTGTGAGGGGTGGGGCTGAGCTGCGCTTTGTGTGTCTATAGACAAACACAGCCTAGCCCCTAGGGGAAAAAAAAAACGAAGCAGGCTGGTGCGGTATGTATGGCTTACCAGAGCTTGGTTGAAGTTGGTGACGGCCATGTTTACAGCCTTTCTGCATTCTTCTTCCATCTGGCTCAGATGTTGGGCTCTCTCATCCAGCTCCGCCCTTTTCTTATCATACAAGTCATCTGGGAAGTGTCATCAAAGATCATTTATAGGCAGAAAAGATGAGAAACAGAACGTTCGACTTCCAGAAAATAAAATACATACATTGGTCTCCTCCCGCATGGTCACATCTTCTCATAGGAAAGCATGCTGTGGACCTCACATCTTCTCATAGGAAAGCATGCTGTGGACCTCACCTTTGAGTCCCTGACCTGGGAGAAGTACGCAGCTAAGGACTTCGGGGTATTCTCAGACTTCCAGGCCAGTGACTACGTCCAGGGATCGCTAGGTGTGATCTCTACTGTAGTCTTTCTCCACATTATTAACATGGAGGATCCCTTGAAGTCACCTTCCAGGATGAGGAACCTCCTATTATATCTGCAGCTTCCAGAACATTAGGAATGCCATAGACGGTACACATTTCTTCCCTGCAACCACGGGTTTACTTGTCTTCCCCATGGGAGGATCTGGTAGGAGGAGAGCCTAGTCACATGGGGGGATCTGGTAGGAGGAGAGCCTAGTCACATGGGGGGATCTGGTAGGAGGAGAGCCTAGTCACATGGGAGGATCTGGTGGTAGGAGGAGAGCCTAGTCACATGGAGGGATCTGGTAGGAGAGCCTAGGCACATGGGGGGATCTGGTAGGAGGAGAGCCTAGTCACATGGGGGGATCTGGTCTCACATGGGGGGTAGGAGGAGAGCCTAGTCACATGGGGGGATCTGGTAGGAGGAGAGCCTAGTCACATGGGGGGATCTGGTAGGAGGAGCCTAGCACATAGTCAGCCTAGTGGGGGGATCTGGTAGGAGGAGAGCCTAGTCACATGGGGGGTCTGGTAAGAGGAAAGCCTAGTCACATGGCGGGGATCTGGTAGGAGGAGAGCCTAGACACATGGAGGGGATCTGGTAGCAGGAGAGCCTAGCACATGGGGGGATCTGGTAAGAGGGAAAGCCTAGTCACATGGGGGGGGGGGGGAGGGGTAGGAAGAGAGCCTAGTCACATGGGGGGATCTGGTAGGAGGAGAGCCTAGTCACATGGGCAGATCTGGTAGGAGGAAAGCCTAGTTACATGGGGGGGATCTGGTAGGAGGAAAGCCTAGTCACATGGGGGGGGATCTGATAAGAGGAAAGCCTAGTCACATGGGGGATCTGGTAGGAGGAAGCCTAGTCACATGGGGGGGGATCTGGTAGGAGGAAAGCCTAGTCACATGGGGGGATCTGGTAGGAGGAGAGCCTAGTCACATGGGGGGGATCTGGTAGGAGGAGAGCCTAGTCACATGGGGGGATCTGGTCTCACATGGGAGGAGGAAGCCTAGTCACATGGAGGGATCTGGTAAGAGGAAAGCCTAGTCACATGGGGGGGGGATCTGGTAGGAGGAAAGCCTAGTCACATGGGGGGGATCTGGTAGGAGGAAAGCCTAGTCACATGGAGGGATCTGGTAAGAGGAAAAGCCTAGTCACATGGGGGGGGGGGATCTGGTAGGAGGAAAGCCTAGTCACATGGGGGGATCTGGTAGGAGGAAAGCCTAGTCACATGGAGGGATCTGGTAAAAGGAAAGCCTAGTCACATGGGGGGATCTGGTAGGAGGAAAGCCTAGTCACATGGGGGGGGATCTGGTAGGAGGAAAGCCTAGCCACATGGAGGGATCTGGTAGGAAGAAAGCCTAGTCACATGGGGGGGATCTGGTAGGAGGAAAGCCTAGTCACATGGGGGGGATCTGGTAGGAGGAAAGCCTAGTCACATGGGGGGATCTGGTAGGAGAGCCTAGTCACATGGGGGGGATCTGGTAGGAGGAGAGCCTAGTCACATGGGGGGGATCTGGTAGGAGGAAAGCTAGTCACATGGAGGGATCTGGTAAGAGGAAAGCCTAGTCACATGGGGGGGGATCTGGTAGGAGGAAAGCCTAGTCACATGGGGGGGATCTGGTAAAAGGAAAGCCTAGTCACATGGAGGGATCTGGTAAGAGGAAAGCCTAGTCACATGGGGGGGGGGATCTGGTAGGAGGAAAGCCTAGTCACATGGGGGGATCTGGTAGGAGGAAAGCCTAGTCACATGGAGGGATCTGGTAAAAGGAAAGCCTAGTCACATGGGGGGATCTGGTAAGAGGAAAGCCTAGTCACATGGGGGGGATCTGGTAGGAGGAAAGCCTAGCCACATGGAGGGATCTGGTAGGAGAAAGCCTAGTCACATGGGGGGATCTGGTAGGAGGAAAGCCTAGTCACATGGGGGGATCTGGTAGGAGGAAAGCCTAGTCACATGGGGGGGGGGGGGGGTCTGGTAGGAGGAAAGCCCAGTCACATGGGGGGGATCTGGTAGGAGGAGAGCCTAGTCACATGGAGGGATCTGGTAAGAGGAAAGCCTAGTCACATGGGGGGGGATCTGGTAGGAGGAAAGCCTAGTCACATGGGGGGATCTGGTAAAAGGAAAGCCTAGTCACATGGAGGGATCTGGTAAGAGGAAAGCCTAGTCACATGGGGGGGGGATCTGGTAGGAGGAAAGCCTAGTCACATGGGGGGATCTGGTAGGAGGAAAGCCTAGCCACATGGAGGGATCTGGTAAAAGGAAAGCCTAGTCACATGGAGGGATCTGGTAAGAGGAAAGCCTAGTCACATGGGGGGGATCTGGTAGGAGGAAAGCCTAGCCACATGGAGGGATCTGGTAGGAAGAAAGCCTAGTCACATGGGGGGGATCTGGTAGGAGGAAAGCCTAGTCACATGGGGGATCTGGTAGGAGGAAAGCCTAGTCACATGGGGGGGGATCTGGTAGGAGGAAAGCCTAGTCACATGGAGGGATCTGGTAAGAGGAAAGCCTAGTCACATGGGGGGGGGGGGATCTGGTAGGAGGAAAGCCTAGCCACATGGAGGGATCTGGTAGGAAAGAAAGCCTAGTCACATGGGGGGGATCTGGTAAAAGGAAAGCCTAGTCACATGGGGGGGATCTGATAGGAGGAAAGCCTAGCCACATGGAGGGATCTGGTAA